CTACTACAAGCCTAGGGAACAGCCTCAGGAAATCAGGTTTTAAAACCTTCCTTGAAGCTCTGTATATGGGAAGAATAACAAGCAGAACACTCAGCTGAAAATGGGAAGTCTTCTGTTTTGTCTCACTGTCCTCAGTATGTGTGTGCACACATTCTGAAGCTTATATCTTAACATAAGCATTTGCACATATGCATACAAACAACATTTCATTCAATAAACTTTCAATAAATGTACATATGTGTACATGTGTGTGATGTCTTACACCAGTAGTAGACTTACTGGGTTCTACTTCCTATGTTTTGAAAGTTTTAACATAGTTTTCAGTGGAAAAAAAATTCAAAGAGTCCATGAAAAAAATATCTTCCATTTAGTCCAAAAACAATTGCAGTCTTCTGAGATTCATAAAGCACTTACTGCTCTTCCATGTGGGTGGTGATGAAGCAGCAACATGTAGTCTAACAGCAATCAAAAGTAACTTCCGGGCCTTGGAGCAGTTGGTAAGGGAATCTGGAGCACAGGTAATTTTTTCCTCTTTCCTTTCAGTTGAGGGCAGAGACATTTGAAGAGACGAGCACAGCCTATTAATAAATGGCTCCGTGGCTGCTGCCACTGCTACAATTTCAGGTTTTTTGATAATGGGATGGTTTACATGGCACGAGGCTTGCTGGCGTCAGATCAGAGTCACCATTCTCAAAGGGGGAAGAGGGTCTTTGCTCACAAGCTAGCAGGGCTCATTGACAGAGCTTCAAAATAGGCTTGAGGGGAGACAGAGGCAACATCAGGCTTGCCTGTCACAAGCTGTGTGATGACACGCCAAGGTTAGATGGGGTGCTAGTGAGGGCCATCAGCATGTTGCTCTGAGGCACACTGGCTACACTGCAGCACACTCGAAGTCTTACAGAGATGAGACAGGGGCTCCTGAGGTAATAGCAGCCAACAGGGAAACACCACAGAAATACCTCAAAGGAGTTGAGGGATGTTCCTCTAAGAATGTGACACAGCAGACAGCCCAGCTGAACTACCTCTACATCAACGCACACAGCATGAGCAACAACCAGAAAGAGCTGGAAACCACCATGCTGCTAGAAAGCTATGACCTAGTTGCCATTACTGAAACTTGGAGGGACAAATCACATGACAGGACTGTGGCTTTCCATGGCTACAGGATATGCAGAAGGGACAAATGAGGAAGGGGGGGGTGGAGGCTTTGTTCTCTACATTAAGAAATGGAAAAGTGAAGAGCCGTCTCTGAAAAATAGCCATGAGCAGGTTGAAAGCCTATGGATAAGAATTAGAGACTGAGGCAACAAAGGGAACCTTGTGGTTGGTGCCTACTACAGGCCACCCAAACAAGGGGAGCCTGTTGATGAAGCCTTCCTACTCCACCTATAGAAGGCATCGCACTTGCAGGCTCTCGTCCTGCCGGGGGACTTCAGCCACCCCAACATCTGCTGCAAAAGTAGCACAGAGACATGTACGCATCCAGGAGACTCCTGGAGTGCATGGAGAATAGCTTCTTAAGCCAGGTAATAGACAGCCCCACCAGAGGGGATGCAATATTGGACCTCTCAGTCACCAACACAAGCCAGCTAAGTGGTGACATCAAGACTGGAGGCAGCCTGGGCTGCAGGGATCATGCGCTGCAGGTGGAGTTCGCGGTCCTAAGGGATATGGGTCAGAGTAAAGAGTAAAGTCAGGACCCTGAACTTTAGGAAAGCAAAATTCCAGCTCTTCAAGTAGTTAGTCAATAGGACTCCCTGGGAAACTGCCCTCAGGGGCAAGGGAGCAGGCAAGCGGCTGGCAGATCTTTAAGGATGCTTTCCACACAGCGCAAGAGCTCTCCAGCCCCAGGTGCAAGAAATCAGGAAAGAAGGCAAGAGACCAGCATGGCTGCGTTGAGACCTCCTGGTCAAACTGAAGAGCAAGAAGGAAATGCACAGGCAGTGGAAGCAGGGACAGGAATCCTGGGAAGACTATAGGGACATTGCCCAGATGTGTAGGAATAGCGTCAGGAAGGTCGAGGCACAGCTGGACCTGAACTTGGCAAGGGAGGGAAAGAATAATAAGAAGGGCTTCCACCGGTATGTCAGCCAGAAAAAGAAGGTCAAAGAAAGCGTACCCGCCCTGATGAGCAAGTCTGGCAAACTGGAAACAACGGACAAGGAGAAGCCTGAGGTTCTAAACTTTTTTGCCTCAGTCTTCACTGGTAACCTCTCTTCCCACACCTCTTGAGTGGATGGACTACAAGATCGGGTCTGAGGGAGAAAAAGTCCCTCCCACGGTAACAGAAGATCAGATTCACTACCACCTGAGGAACCTGAACATACAGAAGTCCTGGACCTGATGAGATGCATCCCAGAATCCTCAGGGAATTAGCTGATCGAGTTGCCACGCCATTCTCCACGATATTCGAGAAGTCACGGCAGTCAGATGAAGTCCCCAGTGACCAGAAAAAGGGAAATATTGTACCCATTTTTAAAAAGGGCAGAAGGGAGGACCCTGCAAACTACTGACCTGTCAGCCTCACCTCTGTGCCTGGGAAGATCATAGAACAGATCCTCCTAGAAGATAGGGCACGTGAAGGACAGGCAGGCAACTTGGTGAAGCCGTGCTGACTGTCTCAAGGGCAAGTCCTGCCTGACCAACCTAGGGGCCTTCTTTAATGGAGTGACTACATCAGTGGACAAGGGAAGAGCTATGGATGTCATCCATATGGACTTCTGTCAGGCATTTGTCACAGTCCCCCACAACATCATGCTTTTCAAGTTCAAGACATGGATTTGATGGGTGAACTGTACAGTGGATGAGGAATTGGCTGGATGGTCAAATCCAGAGGGTAGTAGTCAACTGCTCAATGTTCAGATGGAGATCGGTGATAAGTGCTGTCCCTCAGGAGCCTGTATGGGGACAAGTACTGTTCCGTATCTTCATCAATCACATAGACAGTGGGATTGAGTGCACCCTCGGCAAGTTTGCAGGTGACATCAAGCTGAGTGGTGCCACTGACATACCTGAGGGATGGGATGCCATCCAGAGGGACATGAGCAAGCTCCAGAAGGATCAACAAGGCCAAGTGCACGGTCCTGCAACTGGGTCAGGGAAACCCCCAGTACCAACAGAGGCTGGGGGATGAAGGGATTAAGAGCAGCCCTGCCAAGGACTTGGAGGTACTGGTGGGTGAAGAGCTGGACATGAGCTGGCAATGTGTGCTTGCAGCCCAGAAAGCCAACAGTACCCTGAGCTGCATCAAAAGCAGCATGGCCAGCAGGCCGAGGGAGGTGATTCTGCCCCTCTACTCTGCTCTCATGAGACCCCACCTGGAATATTGCATCCAGCTCCGGAGCCCCCAACATAGGAAAGACATGGACCTGTTGGAGCAGGTCCAGAGAAGAGCTTCAAAGATGTTTAGAGGGATGGAACACCTCTCCTATGAGGAAATGCTGAGAGAGTTGGGGTTGTTCAGCCTGGAGAAGGCTCCAGGGAGACCTTATTGCAGCCTTTCAGTACTTAAAGGGGGTTATAGGAAAGATGGGGACGGATTTTTTAGTCTGTCCCACAGTGATAGGACAAGAGGTAATGGTTTCAAAGAGAGTAGATTTAGACTAGATAGGAGGAAGACAAATTTTTATGAGGTTGGTGAAACACTGGACCAGGCGGCCCACAGAGGCTGTAGATGCCTCATCCGTGGAAACCTTCAAGGTCAGGTTGGACAGGGTTCCGAGCAACCTGATCTAGATGAAAATGTCTCTGCTTATTGCAGTGGCATTGGTTTAAAGGCCCCTTCCAACCCAAACTATTCTATGATTCTTCCTCTGACCACTATTTTTACTTCCAGTAAGCTGCACACACTCAAAAGGAGCAACAGATACACCTAGAAACCTAAGTGACTAAATCACCCTAAGATACCAAAGATATTCACACACAGTCAGTTGGCAGACACAGAAACTATAATGGATTTCTGTCTAGAGAGCTACCTGAAGGAAGGGCAAGAAACCTAGAAGTGTACTGAATGCCTACTTCCAGGCAACTGAATTCCACTCTAAGTTTGAAAACAGGTGTAAAGTACAAGCAAATCAGGATCAAAACCTGATTTCCAACTGCCTTGAGACATAGCCTTAATTAAGGTAAATTTCATTTCAATAACAAGAAAGTATTCAAAGCATTAAAAAAAAAAAAACAGCCCAAACCCTATGATATCATAGTTAACCACAAGTTATCCAATCGATGGATTTCATTTATACATGTTAAAAAACAAAATATTAATTAGACCTTTACTTTTACTAGAAAGAGTAAAAACAAAGCAAAACATTGTACAGCTACTGCCTACCCTGTTCCTGAAATCCAGACTCTGAGTGCTGGTTTGACCTTGGAGAAACTGATTTCAGCTGAACACATTAGCAACAATTAGATCCTTTCTCCCTGTTCCCCATGACCTCTCATAAAACATGTCTTTACACATCCTTTTCTTCTTCAATCCAAATATTTCTATCTTCAACCCTTTTAAAGTCTTATGATTGACATATAGCACCACTGTGCTATTTAATGAACTGAAAATATTCTGTCTGAAAGTTGCATATCCAAGTAACCAATGAGCTGGTAAGACACAGAGGCAAATATGAAGAGAGGAAAGTGTATTTGCTTCAAACAAAAAATTTCAGGGCATTAGAAGGAAATCATTGTAAAGTTCATCCCTCAAAAAGATCTTAACTTCAATAAGCAAAGACTGTTACCAAATATTCTATTTGTTCATACTCTGCAGCTATGCTGTGAGAGAACACCTATTAAAAAAATAAAGAATGAAACCACCTGTTCAATTTATTACATGGAATAAATATTAGTCTCCTTGAGCATGTGGTTTCTCATGATTAAAAACATAAGCACTATAATTCCGTTACATTATTAAGATTTGAGTCACCCAGCTCCTTATGGCTACAGATAACATCTAATCAGGGAATCAAAGACAAAAACAGGTAACTAGATATCAAAATCATTAATCTTACCTGAGAGGCAGATATATGTTAAATATTCACCCTGACCCCCAGTAGCTAGGAAAGGTATCTTTTTTTTTGTCCTTCTTTTCACTTGGACGGCTCCCAGCATCCTTTCATCATGTGGGGCAAAAATTTCTTTGCTGATTGCAGATTTGGCATTCATTGTAGATCACAGATATAGCAGACTGCTCGTCTCTAAAAAAAAAAATCATAAATAAATTAAAAAAAAATTAGAAACTCCTGAGTTATATGAAAGTCCAGCTAACTTACATGGGCATTAACAGCTTTGACCTTCAAATAAAATTTTTAATGATTCAAAGAATTTAGAAGAGAGGCAGAATTTCCAAAGTACCTAAGAGTCTTCACTTAAGTTGTTCTCCACGCTTCTTAAATTCTCTGAAACTAGCCTAGATTATTTTGGGCAGAAGCTACCCACACTTCAGTATAATGCAAAATCTTCTCAGACGGACACCCTGTAACTTCATGCTTCATAAAAGCTTCATTAGTTCCCTCTCTGGTAACTGAAGGAAAGCTCATCTGTCCTACATAGACAGGGAAAGCACTCCAAGGGCATGGGGAAGGAACACTGGGGTTGAGTTCATCAGTGTCCTCTCTGAGCTTGGTTGAGCTGGCAGAGAAGTCACATTCACAGAAGATACAGAAAGCTTCAGACTCAGTAAGACTGTTCCTTCAGGAGCACTGCTCTTTGGCGACAGTACTTGACTAAGTAGCTCCTGCACCTCTTGCAGCTTTAGCACCTCATCCCCTCAACTCCCCTGTAATTACCAACTGGGCAACTGCACAGAAACAGTGAGTGTCAGAGAAACCATTGCCGTTCACACACACAAAACCACACCTCCTCTTTTCTGTTAAGTAATTTTGACCCAGGTCAGTTCCTCAATGTGTTTCATAAGAAAACAGCAGTCAACTTAGGAGAGACATTGGGAGGGGCGGGGGGGGAGAGGGAATAAATAAACGTAGAGATCAGGGAGCGAGAAGAAAGGAAGCTGTTTATTCAAGCTTGTCCAGCAAAAGAAAGGTCAATTTGACCAGAGCTTACAGAGGAAGCTACCGAAAAGAGAGAGAACTTAGTTATAGAGGGGATATTATCTAGCAGCACCACAGTTAGAACTCCAATTAGTTCTGCACCGAAGTCTGTTAATAAGTATACAGGTCCCACTGACAGAGACAGCCAAATGCCCCTTTTAATTTTTCAAATACAATGACACTCCGATACATGTACATTAAATTCCACATCTCCATATTATTAATACTTTCGAGGCCACAGTTCTTTTTTGACACCCTTACCTTTCTTAGTATGAGCAAGATCATCTTCAGGTCTCAACTACTGAAGCCAGAAATTCTGCCTGTGGTATCATTTGATGTTTGCCACAATTTAACTATTAGAAAACATAGATAAATTCCAGCCAAATTAGATTATGAAGCCAAAAGAGTCATGGATCCACTATTTTTAGCGTGCATACTATCAGCAAAGTAATTGTCTTAATACTTTCAGTCTCAAAATTTTGTTGGCACTTATTTATGATATTCCCTTATCTTAACAAAAAAAAAAAAAGCTGTTTTCATGGAGGTGTGAGAGCACAAAATTCACCACCGATTTATTTTGGTATGCGAATAGAATCCTTTGCCAAAATAATCTGTAATAGTATACTGCAGTTAACAATATAGAGGTATGCAAATTCTGACAAGTTTTAGCATTATTTTACATGCATCTTTACAAAAATCAATTGCATTTAAAAAATGGCCCCATGAAAGGAAAAATCCAGACAAATTTCAAAAGAAAAAAGAATGCACAGCTCCTGAAAAGATCTGATTTCATAACTCTTGCAATGTAAGTTACCTATCCTTTAACAACAAATGTATCAACTCCAAAAAAGAATCAACAGAATAAATTTACCTGCTAGTTACTTAGAAAAGGTTGTTTTCACATTCATGTTCTTGTACTACAATTTTCTCCTCTTCTGTGTTATGAAAATATTTGCAGTATATCTTATACCAGCATGCGAACTGCTGGTAGTTCATGACTAGGGCTTTTTCAGGGGTTTTTTTGGTGTTTTGTTTTTACTTTTTTTTTTTTTAATTCAAGGCCACTGTCAATCACCATGGGTTCAATAACACAGATCTCCTTCTGACAGATAAAGACTGATAATCTTTGCAAAAATAACTTCAGTCTCAAGCCTTCACACGCTTAAAGAATTTTCAATAAATAGCCTATTGGGAAAACACAAACGCACGCTGTCAGGTGAGAATATACTCAAGTTCACAGCCAATGGAAAAAGCGTTCTCCAGCTTGCAATGATCTGATGCTGTTAATTCTGCAGCTGAGTTGTTGAATAGATGTTCTCAGGCTTGCCTTTTTTTTTTTTTTTTTAGGTTCACACACTGCAAAATGAAGTGTCGTTTCAAAGACATACTCAGTGATGTAAAGGTTTCCTGGATTAAGAAAGGATAGAAGTTTTCCCCAACTACAATTGATTGTAGCAGAAAATGTTACTGGTTTGTAGCTTGAAAACTTTCATACAGTACTTCAAGATTGACTTTAAGGATATTACAAGCAATAGGTTTCCCTGTATATAGCTGCATTTGATAAGACTCTGCTGAACAGGAGGCAAGTCAAACAAACAAGAGACACTATTGAAATCCTATTTCATAGATTTCTGAAATCATTTTGCTTCATATGTGCACTGCAACTTACAGCATGAAACTAGAACGACTGCCACATGGACAATAACCCAAAATAAATGCAAAACCTAGGAGATTTAATTAACATACCACTCCATGTATACACACATCTATCTCTTAATGCAAGTGCTATTACGCACAAACAACATACAAATCCATCTTTAAATAAAGCCTAGCTCAACACAATACTCCAAGACAGATTAAATCTCCTGTTTCAGTAGAGACACAGAAGATATGACATAGAACAAGCAAATACTGCAGTTTATTGCTGCATACTGTTATTTGCTTTGTGATTAAGCTGGTTGTATAGACATCCACCAGAAGTTATGCACAGACAGATGCTGTAGACACCAAATGTTGTAACTGGAACCTCCCACTAAAGCATGCACTCGCTGCCTAGCAAGTTTTGATCCTTCTGTTTCCCATACTTGGTTTACAACAGCCTCAGATGCCAGAATTAACCATATAATCTAATGCAGTGTTACTTGATAGGATTGCTGAATCTGACGTGGAAACTGACACTAGCCCAAACTACAGAAGTCTACTTATTTAAAAACGAAAAAATAACTAACTGTGCCTGTATGCAAACAGACTTCTGAGATTGAGCTGTCAGTATAGTTTGGATGAAGTTGTTTTTCAATGGTAAAAAATAAAATAAAATCCACAGCTGGGTTTAGATAAGCTACCTTCTCCATATTTAGTGGTGAATCTATGGGAGTTGAACTCAATGTTCCTCATAGAATGTTTGAATTTGAAATGGACCTATGATAAGCAAAGGTTATATTAAAGTCTTAAGTAAAACACGCCAGCATTCTTCTTTCTCAAAAGCAGGCATAATGGAATCTTATCAGTCTTACTAAAAATATGGAAGACTCACTCAAGGAACATGAATTAAGTCTCAGTTTTTCCCATTCTCCAAACACACCTCTTTTCATCAAAAAAAAAAAAAAAAAAGATGCTGGCAGTACATGCAAAACTTCATGTAGTACACGCACATTTCTTTAGACAGTAATGTTGTTCTTGGCGCATGTTCCAGGACAAATTCAAACCATCAGCAATTTCCATTCATGGTCCATGTGGATTCACACACTTTGGAATGCAAAGTTTTCCCCATGCTCGAATATAAAATCCCTTAAAAGTTGAAACTTTTACTGGAGGATCTCTGAGCACTCCGAGACAGTGCATTACTGTTCACAGCACTTACCCCTCTGTGGCAAGAGGGATTTAAATGTTTATGTAAATGTAAAAGTAAAAGTCTTTAAAGTAAATGTAAAAGTCTTTAAAGAGAGCCCACATTTCCTGCCTCATGTGTTTTCTTTGTTCCATGCACTTAATTCCGTTCAAATTATTACAATGATGCTTTTGGCTGAATGATGATAATTCCATTTTCCTCCTGCAGATTTTCACTCCAGCCATCACAGTGTTATGGAAGAGGATGTCAACATTTACACTGTGCCCCCAGCGCTCAAGAGAAACACCCAAGAGTGAGGATTCCTGTGCTGATTTGAACTAGTGCCTGTAACACACTGCCCATTTGCATCTCCTCAGCTCTTTCTCTGCTGCAATTCTTCTCCATATTTCTATCACTAAAACCCCCTCCTAGTAACAGCTGACCATTCCTCTATATGTGCGTGAGGTGACAGGGATTAAAGGTAATTTCTAAGAAAATATATTAAATAAAACCCCAATACTTAAGCTGAAACCTTCACAAACCCCACACATTCAATAACAAAAAACTTTGACTGTTTTCTGGTCAGCCAGAATCTCAGGCTGGTTTTGGGCAGACAGCCAGCAAGCGCCTGACTTATCTTTACATCCAGATGTTTTATAGGACCATGCAAATAAGTAGGGAAAAAAAGGAGATTTACAGTATCTTTGTTGAGGTATTGGTACACAGAAGGAGCTGGGGAAACTAATCCTCAGCATACAGAATTTAAATAGTAGTAAATTAGCAAGGAGAAATGAAGTAAGAAGCAAGAGAAGGACGAGCAAGTAATGTTTTCCAAAAAAAGAAAAAATGTTCAGTATGTTACGTCTCACTGTTTTCAAGGATCTTTAGTTTAATCACGAACAGGGATGGGCTCACAGGACAGGCTAACTACTGAAATGCTGCCTGCAGTGTGAAATCGCCCGAGCAACCGACTATCACTGGGCTGCACTGGTAGCTCTAGCAAGCACTCAGATCTGTTTTTAATGAAGCCACCATTCTGACAGAGGACGTCTACTTTAGGAAATCATCGCATGACACCATTATTAAAAACCCAGCTTCTGCTATTGTGGTAATTGTCTGCTATTTATTTGCTGGAAGTGTTGAGACTACATATTTGATCATTAGCATTCATCAAAATTCTGCATTTGTTGTTGTCTCAAACAGCTAGTACAACTTCGGAGAAGCACAAAATCATTGCTAAACCAAGACAAATAATTTATAAATCTTTAAAAAGCAAATATTAGAAAATACTATTTCTGAAGTTGGTTTGCAATACATTTGC